AAAAAAAAAAAAAAAAAGAGTTGGATGTTACGTTTTGTCAGTTGCAATCATAACACCCCTTGTGCTAGACACTGGATCACCTGGATTCCCTGGGATGGAGATAGTGTTTTTAGTCAAAAAATTAGTTGTCTGTTTAGTCCTTCATGTTATTTTGCCGTGACATCTCACGGCTTTCCTTATCTGCCTGTGGACACTAGCAAAGTAATTGGCATTTGGGTCCATGTTTTCAACTAAAATCCCTTAATTTAGAAAAAAGTCCAGCTAATCCTTTCATTATAAGCATTTTTGACAAATTCTCTCCTTCCTCTTACTCATTTCTTTCCTCTTCAAAATCCATGAAGTCTCTCGATCTGCCAGTTCCCCTTCTCCATGACCGGTGAGCTATTTCACGTCAGTGGTAGAAAGCTCTAAATTCAGTGTTCTTGCCATGTGGAGTTTTTCCACTCATCTCTTCCATGTGTATATTATCTTGATCAAATGTTTGGAGCACGTTCACGTAACTCAGCAATCTTTCCATATCCCCTGCATGTTATTTCCCTGTAACTTCCTCTCAAGAAGATGCAATGTCCCAGATACAATGATGATCACGAAGAGCCGTTCCTTGTAATTCAGGAACTGCTGCACTTAGCAACATTCTGTAGTTTTCATTGTACAAGTCTTTTACTTCTCTGGTTGAAGTTATTCCTAAGTATTATTTTTGGTGCTATTCTAAGTGGAATTGGTTTCTTAATTTCCTTTTCAGCTTGTTCATTAGTGTATAGATATAAAACTCATTTCTGTGTGTTGACTTTTAACTTGCAGCTTTGTTGAATTCATTTATTAGTGCTGTCAAGTTTTTGATTCTTTAGGGCTTTCTACATATAAGATCTTGTCATCTGCAAAGAAAGAGTTTCTCTACTTGTTTCCCAATTTATGGTGATGGTGTTTTCCATTTATTTGTGAAAATCCATTTTCCTTCTGTTATTGATTTCTAGTTTCATTTCTCTGTGGTTGGAGCAGCTCTGTACGTATTTCAGTCATTTTAAATTTATTGAGACTTTTCATGACCTGGTCTATTCTGGGAACTAATCTCTGTGACCTAGAGAAGGTGGTATATTTTTGCAGCTGGAGTATGTGTATGTTTGTTAGGTCTAGATGGTTTACAGTGGGATTCAAGTCCTCCACTTCCTTTCTGATCTTCTTTTCTTTACTGGATGTTATTATACCCATTATTGAAAATGGGATATTGAAGCCTCCAATTATAACTGTAGAACTGTGTATTTCTCCCTTCAGTTCTGTCAACGGTTGCTTCATGTATCTTGCAGCCCTGTGTTAGATGCGTGTAACTTTTATCTTCTTGCCCTATTAAACCTTTTATCAATACATGTCCTTTTTGTGTCTTAAGACTTTCTATTTTGCCTGACAGTATAGCCACCACTACCCTTGGCTACCCTTTGCATGGAGTGTCTTTCCCACCTTCTATTTTCAATCGCTCTGGGCCATTTAGCTGTTTTCTGTGCCTTCTGTTCCTTTTACTGCCTTGTATTGTATTTCATTGGTTTTTTTGTAGTGTCATCTTTTGGGGCCCTTTCCTTTTCTATTGTTTTTATTTTCTTAGTGGTTCCCTTAGAGATTACAAATTACAATCTAGTTTGAATAACACCAACTTAGTTTCAGTGGTAAGAGCTCTGGTGGGGCAGTGGGTGAGGCATGCGGTTGCTAACTGAAAGGCTGGCAGTTTGAACCCACCAACTGCTCTGTGGGAGAAGGATGAGGGAGTCTGCTTCCACAAAGACTGACAGCCTTGGAAATCCTATTGGGCAGTTCTACTCTGTCCTACAGGGCTGCTGTGAGTTGGAATTGACTTGATGGCAGCAGATTTTATTTCAATGATCTACAAACTCTTCCTGTACATCTTCATCTATCCCTCCCCTTTTATACTGTCAAAGATTACAAGGTATGCCCACTGACATAGATTTATAAATATTGTTTTATGCATTTACCTTTTGATTCATATAAAATGTAACAAAAACCAAACCAAAAGTACAGTAATACTGGTTTTTACATTCACTTATGAAACCACCTTTTGCGTAATGCCTATGGACCTTTCACTTCAGTCTAAAGAACTCCCTTTAGCATTTCCTGCAGGACAGGTCTGCTGGTAATGAACTCCCTCAGCTTTTGTTTATCTGGTAATGTCTTAATTTCCCCTTTATTCTTGAAGGATAGTTTTGCTAGAATCCATTCTGCCAAGAATTCAGCACTTTAGATGATATGCCATCCTGTTGCCTCCTGACCTCAGAGGCTATCCTGCACGTGACGGGCTGCTTTTCTCCTACTTTTAAAACTCGCTAGGTTTTGACCATTTCATTAGAGTATCTTGATGTGAATTTTTTGTTTACATTTATCCTCCATGGCATAGTAATTCACATCTTCCTTCCCAATCACCTAATTCCTCTGTAAGTTCTCCTGTCTTGATGTGTCTATTCAGGCTTGCATCTTTTTCCTTAAGTGATTAGCTATTGACTAATTAGTTAACCAAATAACTTTGGTTTCACTTTATTTCAATTGTTACCTTGTTAATTTCTGCTTTTATTGAACAGTTATTTCTTCCTGTATTCCTTACGTTTATTTTCTCAGTATTTGAATTCAGTGTTTGTTTCTTTTTGTTTATCAATGTAATTGTTCAAGTCTGTGATTTCCCCACTAACACTAACATACTATACTCCATACATTCTGGTATATGTTAGTGCTAGTCTTCACTAATGCTACACCACCACAAGGAATTTCCCCTTTCAAAGAAGAAAAGAACATCAGTATGCAATAGCTGAGACATACTCCAGGTCACTTTTGGTAATTTTTTTTACTCTTTTCAGGCTCATGTATGTTAACAGAACCAAGAGCAAAACATACAGTCAACCTGTTACACTGTCATCAGATACTTATTTGGCAAAGTATATCCCTGATCATTGTTTATTAACGCATAGCTAAAGTAACAGATTTTTATTTTGGGCTGGGGACAGGGATGATCACCATCTTGACTTTCAGTCAAGTTGTACTGCACAAAAGAGATTATGACAAACATCTTGTATTACAAAATTCACATTTTGCCCAACCCAACTGACTTTATTTTCTCATAATCTTCTAGGGCCACTCTATCCAACAGAGGTAGCCACTAACTACATGTGGCAACTGAGCACTTAAATTATAGTAGTCCAAATTAATATTGTATAAGTGTGAAATATAAACTAAATTTTGAAGACTTGGTAACCTCTTACCCCCAGAACATCAGGTTTTTTTAATTACATGTTCAAATGGTATTTTGGATATATTTGTTGTTGTTATGTGCCATCAAGTCGGACTAGACTCATAGCGACCCCTCCTTGGGTTTCCGAGGCAGTATCACTATGGAAGTAGATTGCCCCATCTTCCTTCCGAGGAGTGGCTGGTGGGTTTGAACCACCAGCCTTCTGGTTAGCAGTCAAGTGCCTTAGTCACTATGCTACCAGAGCTCCCTTGGATATATTATGTTAAATAAAATTTATTAAAATTTATCTTATGTTTTAAAATACTTTAATGTGCCTACTAAAAATGTAAAAATTCCATCTGACTCATATAATATTTTTGCTAGACAGCATTCCTTCAGAGTTCTCGATCTCCTTCCTAGCTGCCTTTCCTCTGAGGTACATTTACTGCTTTGAGACCACAGACATATAACTATTTCAAGGCCATGCGAAGACAGCAGCACCACCATGATGCCAGTTTAGTGTTAGCATTTATTTTAAAAATACACAAAATAGAAATTTTTACATCAAAGTGTGATAACCTCGCTTATACATTGTTCCATACTTACCTCGTTTTGTTTGCAACCTTATGCAAACATCAAGAATAAATGGATTTGATTCTAAGTTTTTTGCTATGGTTCATGTAAACAGTTGAGACTGCTACATAAAGCAGGTTGATTTTTAAAAGGTAAAGTGGTTGCAGAAACCCAACAATAAAACAACTGAACTTGGTTTGTTGAATGGAATTGGCAGACGTCTTAGCAGATAGATAATCCAGAACTAGACACTGGCTTCTAGGTATTTTAAATATTAAAAACTTTGAGATTTTCTTCATCTTGTAAACATAACTTAGACCTTGTTGGCATGAAGTTTAAAAAGGACGATATTAAACCATGATTTTCATCATCCTGCCTGTGTCAATGTACACTCTCTTTATTATGAGAATGAAACCAAATAATAAGCAAAATACATCAGGAATTTCAAACTGTACTGCAAAGAAGGTCCCGGTGGTCTCTTCTGGGAGTGAACAAACGTAAGCTGACCCTGCTACCCGCTGAGAACCGTCACCTCTGTCCACTGGATAATGCAGTGCCCCAGGCCACGCGGTGGTCGGTCAGCTCCTCTTGCTCAGTGTTTCCTGAAGCAAGTTGAGACTCTCCTTCTCCCTCTGCCGGCTCTGCTGTCCTTCCTTGGGCTTGGATTCATGGGGCTCAGTGGTTCACTACTACTGTCAAGACTGCACTGTCCCTTTAAGGTACCACATGCCACCATAGCTTACACAGCAGTCCTGTGAAGAGAGAAAAACATAAGGGCATATTTCAGCAGGAACTGTAGTTACTGCATTCTCTCCAGAGTATGAAACCCTGAATTATGATTATGGATGGGGTCAATGACGAACAGAACACAAGCAGGAGATGAAGACTGGTCCAAACATGATGCTGTGGTGTATAGTCCCTTCTGTTTTTCGGGGCCAGGATATTTTAAGAGTGAGGGATTGTAAAAGAACATGCTTTTTGTAAACAAAATATGAATAATATTAACCAAAGTGCAATCAAAAGTGCATGCAAAATCTTGAACCGGCAAATGTGAATCACCTTGGATATTTAAAATAAACAGGTCAAAATTTGAAGATATTCATCAAAAATCTCTGTTCCCATCTTTCTAAAAATATGGTATGTGTATCAGTCTGTTCATCAAGCATCATGGGCAGTACACTTATTATGTACTTTCATGTATAAGACAAGTGTTAGTCCTTTTTAAACTAAATTTAAAATTTGATTCTATTCAAAGTTAGTAAGTGTTAGTACATAGCTCTGGCAAGAATCATGTGAAGGTGAAGTGGAGTCAGGACTCTCATCTAGGCCAGGCTGATTCTTTAAAGGATGAAGAAGACCCATCAGACTAGACTGTTTGAAGATAGGGCCTCTGTCTTCCACATGCCACCACCCCAATGCCAACAATGACTGTCAGCTGTTGGAGACACAATTGGCTGCAGGAAGGCACCAGACTAGGATCCTTTTAACTCATTTGTTCTAAATAGAGAAGCCCAGAAGCCTCTGGATATGATGATGCACAAAACAGAGGTACCTTTAGCACTTTATCCACTTCCTGTTTACTTAGATCTTCTCCACACTCTTGAGTCAACCGAGACTGGATCATGTTCCGGCGCACCCGGTAATTTTTGGAAAAAATTTCAAGCAAAACCTGTCGATGCTTTAGTAGCAAAAACATGTTATTTTGGGGAGTCATCTGAGAGAGAAACATCCCCATACAAGAAATGCAAAGCTTGGGCCTAACCCCACAATCGGTCTGTGATGAAAGTCTTTGCCGAGGAACTCTGGATGAACCTGAACAAGTGCGGCCAACTCATCACCTCTCTCCAGACCTCAGTAAAATGACGTATAGGGGTGAAAGGGCACCAGAGGCTGAACACTGACGTGATGCTGCTTTAGTAGGTTGAGGTAAACATAACCAAAAGTGCATGAAAAATGTCCAACTGGCAAGTGTTATACGCATTTTTAACAACAATAGTAAGTGAAGATAGGGCGAGGGATGAGGAGTGTCACAATGGGTTTAAAGCCGTGACACACAACCATGACGCTGCAGCCATGAGACAGGATGCTTCCCCAGGGAAAAAGCAGACCGGCTGGAAGATGGCTGACATCTCCCCAACGGGCAAAAAGGTGTTAAAACGAGGGAGAAAGGACTGGTCTAGCGTATCCAGCACCTGATGTAAAAATTCCAAAAGAGGGGAAACAAAAGAAAACGCCCAGAGTGTCTAGTTTAATAATGACCCCAAACAGGGCAATCTGAGGGGGAAGAAGAAAAGGCTATGAGTCAGATTTAAAATATTAAGAAACAAAATGTCATAAATTTAAACAACTCTGAAGGTGTGACTCCAACAGAGAAATTCCTTAAAATCGGAGGGAAAATGATTTGCCCCCTGAAATTCAAGTCCCAAACAATAATATCTGAGGGGAAAAAAAAAAAGCCAATTTCAGACACGGAAGAATGCCGACAACTCCCCTGCTCCCTGACGAGATAAAGCAAAGCCAGAAGGAGACACGCGTCGCAGCGAGGCAGTCACGGGGGAGCCCGTCCACACGGGCAAAGGTGGGGTGGGAGAGCCTGCCAGGGCCTCAGCCTCAGGAGAGAAGCCACTGTGTATTCAGAGAGCAAGTGCTATTAACAGTTGGTTCTTCAACAGATTTCCAGTCATGACACTATCAACAGGGCTGTTGTTGTTATGTGCCGTCGAGTCAGACCCAACTCATAGCGACCCCTCCTTGGGATTCCGAGGCAGTATGACTATGGAAGTAGATTGCCCAACCTTCCTTCTGAGGAGTGGCTGGTGGGTTTGAACCGCCAGCCTTCTGGTTAGCAGTCAGATGCCTTAGGCACTACACCACCAGAGCTCCTTGATCCACACTGTTGTTGTTGCTGTTGTTGTTATGTGCCGTCGAGTCGGACCCGACTCATAGCGACCCCTCCTTGGGATTCCGAGGCAGTATCACTATGGAAGTAGATTGCCCAACCTTCCTTCTGAGGAGAGACTGGTCGGTTTGAACCGCCAGCCTTCTGGTTAGCAGTCAAGTGCCTTAGGCACTACACTACTAAAAGTAAGGATAACACATCCCACCCCTCTTTACATTCTTCCAACATAAACCCCCCAAAACAAACTCACTGCTGCCAAGTCAATTCAAACTTACAGTAGTGACCCTACAGAATGGGGCATTAGTGTCCCACAGGATTTCCAAGGCTGCAGAGGCAGATGGCCACTCCTCCTCCTGTGGAGCAGCTGGCAGGTTCAACTTCACAGCATTAACTACTGTGCCATCGGGGTGCCTTCTCCCAACACAACTGAGAGCTAAATCCTTGCCAACCACCACAGAAGGCCATGCATAATGTCAAACCGATACATAAAGTAGCTGTATAAACACATTTTGTATTTTCAAAAAAGCAGTTAAAGGAATGGTGGCATTGAGGAAGAGGAAGACATAGTACATGGGAGGTGCAAACAACAAACATGAACCCTTTGGCACACACAGTACCGTGTTGTCAGTGAAGGCAAACATGGGTATATGGGTGGATAGAGGGGTGAACAGGCTGAACTATTAGGTATGTCTATGTAGCGGGGAGTTACTCAAGACCATGTATAGGGTTGGCAGACAGTGGTTTTACAAGTGTTATTTGTATGTTCTGTAAGAATTCCCAGGTGTATAGTGGAGCTGACAAGGGACAAGGTTGTAGTCACTTCTTGGTCACAGGCAGCTACCCAGAGGGAGCAAGTAGTTGAACCTGTGAGCTCAGGACCATAGTCACAGGGGACATCAAGCTCAATTG